GACGCTGTCGCGCAAGAACAGGTACCGCATGGTGGAATGTTTTCTCACGAGCGGCCTCGCCGGCCCCATCGTCCACGAGGCGTTGCAGGAAGCCATCGACGAGGAGCCGCCGCACCGGGACGAGGACCTCATCGCTCTGTTCCTCAAGTACAACACCGACATCAACACGAACGAGGGCTCGGCGCTGGTCGCGGCGGTAGCGCAAAAGGACGTGAGGCTGTTGAGCGCGCTGCTCAGGAAGAACGTCACGCCGCAGACCGCCGCCGCCGTGCTGCCCAGGATCATCGGCACCCAGGACGCGAAGGCGAGGCTGGACATGGCGACCATGCTGCTGGCATCCGTGCCGGATCTCGACCCGGCCAAGGTCTCCCAGGCGATGCTCGGCGCGTTGAACTACCGGCCGGCGGACCTGAAGCTCCTGCAAGTTCTGCTGGTGCAGGGTAAAGCCGATATCAATGTCGACAACGGCATCGCCATGGCATCGGGTAAGCGAAGCTCACGCGCACGCACGACGCAGAGTAATTTGATGTCTCTAACTGGTTCTATAGCAATACACAACCACGACCCTCCCGTCCTGCAGACCCTGTTGGCACACGGCAAACCCACGGCCGCCACGCTCCACCGGGCCATCAACGAGTTCGGGCAGCTGGTCTTCTCGGACACCAAGGCCGAAAAGCTCGAGATCCTGCTGCAAAAGGCCACGGCCAAGGGCCCGTTCAACGACGTGCTCGTCAAGGAAGTCCACGCTCTGCTCCAGACGCTTCCCGAGCACCGCCAGCTGTCCATCGTCAAGCTCCTCCTCGAGGCCGGCGCCGACGTCAACTCCCACAACGCCGCCGCCCTCTGCCACGCCGTGGCCGCGAGCGACACGCAGATCACCGACCTCCTCTTCGCGGCCCGCCCCAGCCCGGCGTCGCTCGCGTCCGCCCTCCCCCACGCCCTGCGGATCGCCGACCCGATGGACCGGCTCGAGTTCTCGCAGAAGCTGCTCGACGCCGGCGCGCCCAGCGCCGAGGCGAACCGGGCCCTGGGCTTCGCCATCAACACGTACACGAACGACATCCCCTTGCTCCGCACGCTGTCGATGAAGGCCAACACGAGCGACGGGGAGGCCCTGGTGTCGGCCGTGAAGAAGGAGCGCCCCGACATCGTGGAGCTGGTCCTGCAGCAGAAGCACCCGCTCCCCGTGCTGAACGACGCCTTTGCCGAGGCCGCTCTGCTGACCAACAGGGAGGCGAGGGCGGCCATCTGCGAGATCCTCTTGCACCACGGCGCGTCGGGCTCGGTCCTCTCGGACGCGCTCCTCGCCGCGGCGGCGGACGGCGACCTGGTCCTGGGCAACCTCCTGGTGAGCAACGGCGCGCAGATCGACGAGGACGCCATCGTGGAAGCGTGCCGGTCGGGCGCGGCCGACGTCCTCAACATGCTTCTCAGCGGCAGCACCACGCCCAAGAAGTCGACGATCGAGAGGGGGTTCCAGGCCGCCACCGAGGTCGGCAACCTGAGGACTCGCGCCGCCATCCTGGAGCCGCTCCTGGTCTTCGGCGTCGACGGCGAGGCCCTCGACGCGCAGCTCGCGTCGGCGGTCCGGTTCGGCGAGGAGGGCGACGACCTGGTCAAGATCCTGCTGGAGGCCGGCGCGGACCCCAACCACAACAAGGGCGAGGCGGTCTGGGCGGCCACGCGGAGCGCCTACCTGAGCAGCCTGCAGATGATGCTCGGCCTGTCCGACAACGGCCCGCGCCTGGCGAGCAAGCCGTCGGTCGCCTCGCTCAGGGGGGCCGCCAAGAAGAAGAAGCGGCAGCCGCCCAAGCCCACGGCGGCGACGCTCAACAGGGCTCTGCGGGCCGCGTGGAAGCTCGGCCGCGAGACCCGGTCGTCGGCGATCGACATGCTGTTCCGGGCCGGCCTGCCGGTCTCGGACGACCTCCACGTCGTGCTGAACAACGCCGTCAACGAGGAGGAGGTCGACCTCAAGATCATCAGGCAGCTGCTCCGGTACGGCGCCTCGCCGATCGCCAACGACTGCCAGACCCTCGTCGACGCCACGAGGCGGGCGCTCGTGAAGCCGCTCGCCTTCATGCTCGAGTCCAAGATCCTGTCGGCGGACCTCAACCTGGCCATCAGGGAGGGCTTCACCAAGGAGAACACGGACGCGTGGTTCACCGAGGCCGGCTTCAGCATCCTGCACAGCTTCCTGCAGAAGGGGGCCCACGGCGACGGCCTCAGCTCCGTCCTCACGCAGGTGGTCGACCTCCCCCTCACCGAGAGCGACCCCGACGGCCTCGCGCTGGCCAACGGCTTCGTCGACGTCCTCCTCGACCACAAGGTCGACGTCAACTACGCCGACGGCAGGCTGCTGCAGTCCGCCGCCGCCGCCTGCAACTCTTTCCTCGTCAGGCGGCTGCTGGAGAAGAAGCCGAACACGGAGTCGCTGTCGCGCGCGTTCTACCGCATATTCGACAACGCCGCGCCCGAGGACGAGGCGCTGGAGCTGATCACGATGTTCACCGAGTACGCGGACGGCGAGACGCGGCTGGACGTCATGTACACGCCGCCCGGCTCGATGCCCCTGCTGTTCCTCGCCCTGGCGCAGCACCCGCGGTCGATCCGGATCGCCAAGGCCCTCCTGGACGCCGGGTACTACTACGACCAGATGATGCCGTACAGGGTCACGGAGGACGTCGAGGAGGAGGAGCCCGTCACGCTCATGATGTGGGCGCTGCTGCAGCCGCAGAAGAAGGTCAGCAGCGGCATCATCCAGATGCTCATCGAGACGGGCGCCAAGGTCAACTTCGAGTCGAGGCTGTCGCAGAGCACGCCGCTGATGCTGGCGATCCGGAACCGCCGGCCGGACGTCGTCAAGATGCTGCTGCTCGAGGGCGCCGAGGTGGACGTGTGCGACGTCGGGGGCAACACGCCGCTGACGCTGTCGACCGAGATGGGCGGCGAGACGGCCATCAAGATGATGTCGAACCTCCTCGCCGCCGGGGCGTCGCGCAACGACGGGTCCCTGCACAACGCGGCGCGCGAGCTCAACATGCCGGCCTGCCAGGTGCTGGTGCAGTACGGCCACGAGCCCGACTTCCCCAGCACGCTCCACGGCGGCCGGAGCGCGCTGGGCGAGCTGTGCCGGCACTGCGCGGACTCGGGCGAGCTCACGGCGGCGCGCCAGAAGCTGATGGAGCGCACCGTCAACTTCCTCATCGAGGCCGGCTCCGACATCACGCTGCGGTCCGAGGGCAAGTCGATCCTCCTCCTCGCGCTCGAGTCCCGCGACCCCGTCGCGACGAGCCGGACGCTGCTCAAGGCGGGCATGTGGAAGCACGTCAACAAGAAGTTCAACCACTTCACGGACGGCAAGACGACGTACTCGCCGACCATGTACGTGCAGCACGTGCTGCCGGCGTCGGCGGCGGACGTCAAGGGGGCCCTCCTCCGGCTCCTGCGCGCCAACCGCGCCGAGGACGTCTACTACGCCAACGTGGGCCCGCAGCCCGAGGGCGCCGTCGGCATGCCCGAGGACGTCGAGATGCAGGAGCGCACGCGGCGCGCGCGGCTCGACCGCATCAACCTCGAGCAGGAGGACCACGTGCTCTCGATCGCGCGCAACCAGGAGCTCGCGACGGTGCAGGCGCAGATCTGGTCGGCGCAGGCGGAGCTCGAGGACTCGCGCCGGCGGCGCGTGCGGCAGGACGAGCTCGCGGCGCTCGGCGAGCGGGCCCGCGCCGAGGAGGACCACTTCGCGGCGGCGATGCGGCGGAAGCGCGACGAGCGCGACGCCGACCTGCGGCACGAGGTCGCCCTCACCGAGGCCACCGTCTCGCGCGCGCGCGCCGTCGAGATGGCCGAGGCCGACCTGACCCTCGCCCGCCGCACCATGCTGCTCGAGTGGGAGAAGCAGATGGCCACGGAGAAGGTCGACCACGCCAAGGCCCTGAGCGCCATCCGCGTCGCCGAGCGCGAGGACGTCGACCGCATGGACCGCGAGCAGGAGGGCCGCTTCCGCGCCCGCCTGGCCGAGCAGAGGCGCCTCGTCGACGGCCAGAGCCACCTCGCCAACCAGCTCGCCGGCGCCGGCGTCAACGGCCGCCGGCAGATCGGGTACATCACAGGGGAGATTAACTGAGTCATCACGGGAACCGTCTCAGCGGGGTTTACTAATTCTTTTGTCTTTTTTTTTTTTCTTTTCTTTTTTGCCGTTCTTCTTTCCTTTCTTATTCCTTTCCTTCTTTCTTTCTGTCTTGTTTATTCTCTAGTGTAGCCTAACAGCTGGAAAAGTTAGACTTTGGGACGGCCCGAGAGGGAATAGGGGAAAACGGCGTTTTTTTATGGGTTTCCATCTTTCTCGTGGGGGTCACGGATTTTGGGCAGGGAAATCTATCTGCTTTTACTTTTGGCTACCGCGATAGCCTGGATTTGAGAGGGCATATCGGAGCGAGCAATGGAACATCAAATATATTTACTTGTACTATAACACGGCTCCTCTCATCTCGGAGGCTTGTGCCATGGAGAAGAGATGGTGATCCTTGACTCGAGTAGACCCGGCTCCGTGGTAGGGAGGGAAATCCACAAGTGGACGCCGGTACTGCTACCGTAGCATATACTCGTTTCTCCGTGGGCTTTGCCCCCCGTCCCCGACCAACTCCCGGCTGGACCAGGCCCGGAACACCGCTTGAATCTGCCTGAGGATTTTGAAAGGCCCACGATGGGGGGGGGAGCTGGGTCCGGAGACGCGAGGGGCTGCGCACTCAGGTAAGAAAAAAAACCGGATATGTTTCTCCACCACGACCAACCACCAAAAGGTACTCTGTTTACTGTCACTCGAGTGGCTACGATGCTAAGTTGGGAGTGTACATGTAGGGCGAGAGGGGCGGCTCATACCAATATTCAAGGATCATGGGTCGGGCGACGGCGTAACGTGGGTGGACTGGAAATCCTCCACGGTGGGGGGGAATTCAGATCGTGAAATCATCTCGATCAAGGGAGGGCGCAGCTGCTTGAGCCCATTGACGCGTAGGCTTCGTCGAATATGAGCCTCTCCGTGTTTCCAATAATAGACTGACCAAACTGCCACTGTGCTGGCAGCCGATACTCGCTGTCGGACCACGCCCAATCTAATGGGGTTTCTCTCGCATCAGCGCCTCTGGGGTCACCCCCCCGATTCGTACGGGCTCGCAGGCCTCGCCGTCCGTCAAACCGGCCACGACGACGGCCCCCGCGTAAGTGACTCGCGGCGCTTCGCCCGAGCGTCGCTGCGGCCGCGCAGGGAGGCATCGGTGATCGCCGCCGCTACGCAGTCGCCGGTCATCCAGGCCTGGTGAATCGCCCCGGCCGGGGAGCCCCCCGTCTCCCTGCGCCGTGCCATGGGCCCGCCAGCCCTGCGGAGGACGGACATTGCCGGCTCCTGGGCGTGGACCAAGCTCCATCGCATAGACGATTACGTCAGGTAGCAAACTGTGAACCGGTTCGAATACGCAATGGACATCCTTGTTCGTTTTCCCTTGGTGGAAAGCGAGCTAGAAATATGCTTTTACGGCGGTACATCTTGAGACGTATGTAGGGCTGCGTGTCGAATATCCCGACCGGCAAGGAAGCAGTGAACCTGTGGCCCTCATGGCGCCAAGGTGGCTTTCTTGGACAAACACCACGGACTGTAGAATGATATTGGTAACAGCCAGCGTGCAACCGTTGATGGTGATGTGAGAAACCTGCCGGCCGTCTGTGTCAGGTCAGGTCAGCCTATAGTCGTACTTAGCCAAGTATAAAGTTGGGAACCCAGCTCGGCAGCGTGGGCATGTGGCTCCCGAGGCCGGACCCGGCATAGCAGAGAAACGCCCGCGGCTTTGTGGCGCGTGTGGTCGGTACGGGAGCTTGGAGCCAGCGGGCGACAAAGTCCCGTTATGTATCGCCCAGGCTCGTAGCCTTTGTGTAGTCGGGCATGATGTCGAGATGGCAAACCCCCCGGGAGGCTATACACGTAGTGCTTTGGGTCTATATAGGAGCACTGCCTCCCAGTGCGCCAGCCCACGGGAGACTTGACCATTTTGGTGCTCGACTTCCGTTCAGGTTCGCGACGGTTTCGAGCGCCCCGAGGATGAGCGACTGGTCCCACGTCCCGAGCTAGGCGAGCAAGAGGTTGGCGGAGCCAAAGATCCGGGGGCATCATCTCCACCTGCAGCGACCGCTCCCCCAGGCCGCGACAGGAACTACGATCGACTATCGGCGGGTACGTTGCTGTGCGCCGCCCACTGACTGCAGACGTGACGCAGGGCCGCCTCGAGGTTGACAGTTTGCGTAGAAGACGGCATGCTCGGGCCGCGAGCGGGACGCACGCCGGCGCAGAAGATTGCAGCAGACCGGGCCCGGATCATGATTCGCCGAAAGCAGCTGAAGGGCCCGGATGGCAGGACGTGCCACATCGGGTGGCCGATCGTACACAGCGAGATCCTCATGGTTGAACCCGGTGTCCTGAGCGCTATGTGCTGACGAGATGGGATTTCGGACCAAAAGGCGAGGTCCGGGGATGCATCGTGTTGGCGATGTCGAAGGGGAGCTAATGCTGGTTGTCACAGTGGCTGGCAGCCTACTTCGCTTCTGTATTCGTATTGCTGGACAGTTGGTGTTATCAGAGAAGGGCTGTATACAGCAGGGTGCAATAAGTCATGGTACACCTCACAGTGCGTTACCTTAACTGCACTACAAAGAATATACTATATCTCTAAGTATTAGGTATAAACTTAATAGTAAAAATTATATATAACTACTTTAGTTAATTAGCTATACTATACTATTTTTAAATTTTAATTTACTTATATACTAGTAAAGATATAAAGTTTATATACTAGTAAGTCTAGGTGCTTTACTTCTTTCTTAGGAAAAATATAGTGTTTATACTATATTTTACGTTATAAGCCTACTATCTTTAAAATATAAGGGATACTATATATCTCTTTTAGCTTTACTACTTAATTACACTAGTAAAATAAAATCTTATTTAGAGGATATATAGAGATTTACTTAAGCTATTTACTAAGTGTTTTGTTTTATTTTAAAGTATCTAACTACCTCAATATTATTAGCTTAATATTGCTTGTTGTAAAGTAGTAAAATAGGTGTATACTGTGTGCATGTACCATGATTTCTGGCACCCCACTGTGTGTGGCCAATCTGGTCAGCACCCTACCCTGCAGTGACCAAGATGACAGTGTGTGTATGGACGACGCACGAGGCGTTCTATCCATCCCTCTCTCTGGACAGTCTACCACGTAGCCTGGATCGCCTGTTTAGCCACGATGCGGTTGCTTATCAGGCTAGGCCCCCAGCCTCTGGATGTTCGGCCCAAGGAGTTGTCGAGTCGTGCTAGGCCCTGTCAAGATCCCTAGTTAATCAAACGACCAAGGGTCGCACGTGCTTGTGACAGTCCCGCGCCCGGTCGCATTCGGGCTGCCTGGCCGTTGATCTGCCTCGCGGGGACTGCGTTTGGATGGCCAGTCTCTGAAGTTGGAGGGGACGCGCCAAGCTACCCGGGATACTCTGGCTTGTCAAACACTTGGTGCCGTCCAGCCATTCTTGAAGAAACAACAGGCGGGGGTGGTCCATCACCAGTGGGGGCAACTATGCAGCTAGGACCGCGCAAGACACTATTCGTCCAGGGAACGAAGTGGATGTTCATCTTACGATGCCAAGGGGAGCGTGCGCGGGCGCATGTGACTGCGCGAGCGAGAAGAAAAGAAGAAGAAGAAGAATACGACTCTGCAGGCAACAACAATACTATGTATAGGCCCATTACTCGTTGCTCGTTGAGTCGTGGTGACAGGGGCAAGTCGTGTCATGGAGCCGCTCGGCAAGGCCGCAAGGAAACATGCGTCGGAAAGTTTCGATATTTGATTAACGGGAGGAAAATGGATGGTAGAGCGAATCATTTTCAAGTTGAATACAACGTCTACAAGGGATCGACTTCGGTGCCTTTGTATGCTGCGTAGAGATAATTCCACTCGAGACGTAGAAGGAGAGAAGACGGTATGTATAGTAGCACCCAGTGGGGATTCCCATCAACGTCGATCGTCGCAAGTTAACGCGGATGACCGTTCCTTGATTCGTCCTACAAAGGATGATGGGATGGAGTGGATAGGCGTTTCCGTTTTACTATGTAAACACACTTCCAAGAAGTTGGCTCTGGTCACGGAAACCTTCTCCTTCCCCTCTTTATGGAGTGATTGTGCTTGCTTGGTAAGGCTGCAGCACAGCTACGCTGAGAGAATAAGTCATTGAAAATCCAATCCGCCAGCCAGCGAGCCAGATTTGTGTGGGCTAATAATATATGCCACCAGTGTGTTCGTAAGTGTATCGTTCGTCACGTTCCAAGACAGCGTTCACCCACGTTCCTTGAGCGCAAGCCAGTTGGCGGTGACATGCGTCAAAGCTGCGGAAGCTAACGCTCAGTCACTAGATCAAACTAGGACTAGGCCGCCTGGCAGACCGAGTATCTGACCAGGGTTCTATCTGTTGGGTGGTTCTCGGACTCTGGCGCAGAGGCCTCATGGTCTCACGTTTAATTCCACCTTCTCTGAGAGCGAGCGCTTTCCCGTTTCTACTTCCCCGGGCTTGATTCTGGCTTACCTTCAACTCAGAAGTGAAGCATCAAGTGATGAGTGATCGCGCATCCAAAATTGGTTACGATATTGATCTATGCACTGGCAGCCGTTCCGACTAAATAGCTCATTCCCACATATCCACAGTGCTCGAGTCAAACACTAGCCGAATAATACCTGCCCTCTGCCAGGTAGAGAGTCGTGCACCTACCGGTTCACTACATGGCGGTGGGTTTGAATTTGATCCATGTTGCCTCCTGGGATCAAATCTACACGTTTTCTTCTTTTTTTCCTTTTCTTTTTCGCGTGGGTGAAGGCTCGGAGGATATAGAATATTGGAGGAATTTCTATAATATAAGTATAGTGTACGGTATTAAGCTTACACTATTACTCACGGACTGACAAGTATCCGAGCTTGGGGTTTGATTGCCGCCACACGGATGCGGAACAAACGATGAACCATTCCAGGGCCTTTTTGCCCGCATTGTGATTGTGTTATGCCTTGACGCTTTGACGTCCGCAAAGCCGTAAGAGGTAAGATCAACGTCGGCCTAGGATCAACATTGGGATACAACTCATGCTGGATCGACGGCTTCAGCACTTCAAAAGTGATGGAGACTACTCAAGCATACCATGTTCCACCATAGGCGTGCATGGGTAGTAGAAGACACCAACCAAGTTCAACTTGGAAAGAATGTTGGTTTTGCGCATGGACTTCGTTAGCAAATGGGTCAGAATACGAGTGGAAACCAGACAGTGACGCACGGCATGCGAAACCTCCACTTTGTTTTCTCCGGTCTCTAATCCACTGAGTATAACTTATCACAATCCCGATCGCGCGTCTTACGCCGAAGCTGGTTTTACTTCAAACCAGACGAGTATTGGCGCATTGTGATTCTTGTTTCCAATCTTTCAGAGAGTATTGGCGCATGGTGATTCTTGTTTCCAATCTTTCAGACATGGAACGATAGATTTCGGGAGGGCGGCTGGGTCCCACGATTTGAAAAAGGCAGATTAACTGCCTACATGTTTCGGGAGGGTTAAAGCGGGAAGATATAGCCTTTGGCTTGGTACGGAACGTGGACTGTGTACCCCCCGCGATGGACGGTCACCCACACCAGCCTAGTTGTCCAAGGGAATACAGATATATATTCAACATAAACAGCACCCCAACGTGGTTTCCAGTAGCGTACGGAACTACACTAACTGCCTCCGCCAGAAACTCATCAGTAACTCACTGCTAACTTAAGGTCCTATATCGAGTAAACGAAACGATCTATTAGGATAAGGTTTTCGCCAAGATATAGAAGCTGTCACAGCGTTTGCTCGATGATGGGTGACAAGTCATATATATCACTTTCTATACCAAGACGATCGTCAATGCTAAGCCACCGTCAGTGCGTACCACAGTGAGTAGGTGATCTTGGTTCAGTCATGCTAAATGTCAATTCCGGGGATGTTTTCAGGCCGCCAACTCTCTGAAACGCGCGATGGTTCCGCCGGTCCGTCGTCTTGCGGTCACTGACTCGAGTTTTCATCAACCGGCAGGGAACCGGGAATTTCAGGCAATCCTGCCTGCCCCATATGTGTGTGTGTGTACCGCACAATTCCAACTCTTATGTTGTGGGGTTGCAATCTCCTTTTTTTTTTTTTTTTTTTTTCATCTTTTCTTTTTCTGTTTCCTCTTTCGCCCGCCCCCCACCTCCTTCGTCGTTCACGTGGTGAGGCACATATCTCCGAATCATATGTTATATCGAAAATCTGCCTGTACTCGACTCTTATAGCTGAATAGTGATCCTCGCGGGGATCACCCCTTCCTGAAGGCGAACTAGGTACGATTTGTGATAACTAGGCATGAGGTGGTAACAACGCCGCTACTATATAGCAGCCAATGCAAGTTTTAGATCTGCCAGGGCCGGCCATTCACCAATCTGGACATTCCTTGAGGCGAAAACGGGTTCACGTATGTCTTTGAATCACGTAGTGGAGGGTTGAGGTGGCATTCGCACGGGCTTCGTCAAGGGACGCCCCATAACACAGAAGGATCAGCACGGCATCGAGGGCCGACTCCGGGGTTTGGGCGAGCGTGGTAGGTACTTGTCGTCATGCTAACCGCCCACCGAGAAAGGAGCTCCCGCTTACCTGGTACTTACACCAAGAGCCTCCTTGCCCGAAGAGAAAGGGGTATGGTTTGGGCTGTGGAGTATAGTCAGATGCCTGCAGCCGGGGTGCCTGCCATACCCAGTCTTATCAGCGTTGGCGCAGATGCAGACTGCGGGCCCTCTGTTCCTCTGCGCCGTTTTATTGATAATAATATCTACGGGACGGGTCCCGTGGGAGTCGCACTCGGGAGACTCCATAGTCTTGTTGGTCTTTCTTTCTTTTGAACAAGGGATGGAGCTCGTTCTATTCCTAATCTTTCTCTAGTTTGATTTCTGATATCTTGGCTCTGCCTACCAGGCCTTTCCATTCGCTCCAAACGAAACATCAGGCTTCGTATCACAGCCCCGACCATGGACGGAGCAACAATTGTAAAGCTGTTTGGAACAGCGGACAACTCCCGCGAACCAGAGCCGTTGGTGAACAAGACGAGCACAATCCTGGGTGTTGTCATCAGCTTTGCGGTTAGTCCACCATGACGCTCGGCTATACATAATAGAGGTACTTGTACTGACGAAGGTCGCCAGGTTCTCTCGTGGCTGTGCGTCGCATTCCGGATGCATGTGCGCATCAAGATGGTTCGGTCGTTGGGATGGGATGACTTTTTTGTCATATTGTCGCTGGTATGCTATGCGAATACGGGCAGAGAACGATCATCGTCTTACTCTAATCCTGCTTGCAGTTGTCAATAACCACGGGTTCTGTCGGAGTCTGCGTCTGTAAGCACTTTCGATCGTCCCGGGCTCGTTTGCAATGCTAACCCTCTGGACAGCAACCAAATATGGCTTGGGCAGGCACATCGGCACGTTATCTGCCTATGAAGTCAAGGCCTATCTTCGAGTATGTTGATCCATCGCATAGCCGATGTCGAAGTTGTCATGACATTTCCTAACCAAACCTTCCGGGTTAGACCTTCTACGTAGCGAACGGCACTTATCAAATCTCTACGGCCTTGATGAAGATCTCTCTCCTCTTCCAGTACCTCCGCATATACGATCAGCCATCCTTTATCAGACGCGCCTGCATTTTTACCCTCGTTGTCGTTGCCGTGTGGGCTATTCCCTATACGGTGGTGAGCTGGATCCCCTGCATGCCAGTACAAGCCTACTGGGACTGGTCAATTCCGGCCACCCGTTGGGCCTACGGATCGCTCGATGCCAAAGTTTTCTCGACCACGTACGAAAGCCACGCTGCGGTCAACATTGCACTCGACCTCTTGGTGTTGATGCTTCCAGTGCCCCTCTACTTCGAACCCAACATGCCGCTCAGGTCTAGACTGGGTTTACTTGTACTCCTCAGCATGGGCATCGCGTATGTCAAACCGTCCAGTTCTCCTCCATGACGTGCAATGAGCTGACCAGAATATTTTACAATGCAGAGTCAATTGCGTCTCGGTAGCCCGATATGTCACCATTCTGCAACACAAAAGCGCTACATACCCGACTATCGATTTCCCCTGGTACGCACCAGTCAGCATCGTCCTCGCCTGCGTCGAAGTCGACCTAGCCATGGTGACCAGCAGCATCCCCATTTTCTGGCCCGTCATCCGACAGGCGTTCCCCGGCATCTTCGTCACCAAGGAAGTCGAGATCACGTGTGAGGTTCGGAGGATGGAGAGTGTCGAGCTCGACGATGACGTGGGCGAGGAGGGGCGAAGGTCGAGAGTGGGCAGTGAGGCAAGTCTTCGACAAGACAAGCCAGCACATAATGCGCGCTATAAGGACGAGTTTATCGTGAACCAGGTTGATCCCTTGAGTCGGAGCAAAAGTGTTGTCACCGAGGTCAAGGCGTCAAAAGCCAAACAAGATGGATGGTGGAACAATGGGAGTTGAGCAGAATCCGGATACGTAATATCAAAAGTCGCTGATTTTTAAACATTCGATATACCCATTTCGTTCTTGGTGGAATTGAAGCATCTCGCTTCTTGCCAGGCTTGACATCAACATGCACTGGGTCAAGAACGGTTTGCACGAGGTTTCCTGTTCTATCCATATGCGTTGCTCAGAATTGCTCGCACTTGGACAAATCACAACAAGCTGTGACTGGATGAATAGAGTCTACAGTATCGTATCGTCTTTGCAGAGCTTCTGTTGGCAACAACTCCCACCTTGGGCCCGCCATTCCCGTCTGATTCAGTGTCACGAGTTGGAGCATAAAAAGGGGCACAGGAGTTAGATGAAAGGCAGTTATGATTGGAAGCTAAATGAAAGATGATTATTCTTTAGAAAATTGAGTAAAAGATAATTATTCTGCGAAGAGACTAATGTATTCCAAGTCTAATATATAAATTAGATCAATGAGTGAAGCGCATTATCAAAAATGTGTGCTTGGCTTCTCTCCTGAGCCTTTATGAGTTTCTCGTCACCAAGACTACTCTAAGTCTGTTGGTGTCTCGTATATCATAGGTGAATCACGCTAGACGCTCAAGAATTAGTACTTGATTTTGAAGTTTAAATACACCCATTTCAAGAACATGCTACTTTCTAAGCTAACTATCAACAATTAATGACGCTGGTAATCTGTTTTACGGTTCTATTTGCTGCCGCAAGCTAAGCGATTTTATTAATCTTTGCCGAGCCTAGCTTAGTGTAATAAGTGAAAACCTGCCCCATGTCCTCGAGTGTCAGTTCAAAGACATTATCGACAAGCTGTCTCGGATATATCACGGTCTTCAAGATGTCTACTGTCTTGGTGATTTCCAACAGTCACAGCCCACTGCAACCTCTGCAGTTGCTGCCTTGAAACCCCTCCCAAGGACAACTGCCTGGATCTCACAAGTAATCTTACACGAATGCAACAGGAAACGGAGTCAACGAATTTATACAAGAGTGCACAAGAGAAAATGCGGAACGAGCATTGGATTCGGGTATTCGGCATCCGCGGGTTGGGCAGGCAACCGAAAGTTTGAAGATATACTCAACCAGGCAGGCTGACGTTCCGCGGACGCCCGACGACCCTTGCATTTATAGTTTGGCGTCGCCCGAACATAACCCTTTTCTTTCAAATGGGGAGGGAAAGTTTTGAACCCTCCTGCGAGCGAATACAGCTAAAACAAAAAGCTAATTTCCAGACCTTATCAGTCTGCACAAGGGAACAAGGAAGACGCAACCCAGAAACTTGTCTAATCCTTTGCAGAATGACTGACAGCCAACCCCAACTCGTCACTGGAGGGAGCGGCTTTATCGCGCAGCACGTAATTAACAAACTATTGCTTCAAGGCATTTCTGTCCACACAACGGTTCGCAGCCTCAAGAATTCCAAAAAGGTTGCGAGCTTGAAGGCGCTACAAGAAAAATATCCGACTGGTCGATTGAAGCTTTTCGAAGCCGACCTGCTCCAATGGGGCTCGTTCAAGCAGGCAATGCAGGAGTGCGCAGTAGTCCACCATGTCGCATCGCCTTTTCTCATGGCAGAAAAGATCAAAGATGGACAAAAACAATGCGTTGAACCTGCATTGAAGGGTACTCAAAACGTACTGGCCACTGTCGAGGAAACGGAATCTGTCAAGCGGGTTGTGCTTACATCTACAAGTAAGTGTATAACATCTACAAATCAGCTGGCTTGAATTGGAACTGATTATCATCCGAACTTTAGTTGGTGCAATTTTCGGCGATTACCGTGACGTTTCCGATCAGATGGGAGGGGTCCTCTCCGAAAACTACTTCAACGAGACAAGCACGGTGGACCACAACCCCTATCACTACTCCAAAGTGCTGGCGGAAAAGGAGGCATGGGAGATCGCAAAGCGACAAGACCGATGGGACATGGTCGTCATCTGCCCAGGTTTGGTCTTTGGCCCGCCGTTGTCTGAAGGCTCCGAGTCTGGCAGCCTGTACCTCGTGGACGAGCTCCTGCGCGGAGAGCTGTTCTTTGGTGTGCCCAACCTCAGCTTTGCCACCGTGGACGTCCGAGACGTTGCAGCAGCCCACATCAAGGCGGCAGAGACGCCCGCTGCCAAGGGTCGCTATATCGTTGCTTCCAAAGAGATGGCTACGTTCTTGGACATCTCGCGGGTTCTTCGGAAGCTGAGCAAGTCCCCGCTCATTCCCAATCACCAGCTACCCGACGTTTTTGTCCGTGTCCTAGGACCTATGTTTTTTGGCCTAACGGAAAAATGGATTTCGAGGAACCTAGGGGTCCGTTTTACTGTGGACAATACTCGGGCTGTGAATGAGTTGAATCTCAACTTGCGGCCGCTTGAGACGACCCTCAATGATCATTTCACCGCTTGGAAAGCTTCTCGGAAGAAATAAATGTAAGAAGCTGTACTATGTATTCAAAACGTCCTGGATCTCTGGCCAGCATCTTTTCTTCATTACCCCTGGTTCATATTCACTCCAATTTATTTGAATACCCATCTCTAAATAATAAATTGTCGTGAAGCTGGGACAGCTTCGTGTGGCTGGTATTTCTAGGCGATATTTCTCTCGTATGTAGACTTAAGAAAATCAACTACTTCTCTTCGAAATGTTTAGACGCTGCGGTTCATCACATAGATTAATATCTATAATAGAACAAATACGTTCCTAAGGGCAAACGATCCGGAACGATCTGAGACATACCCCGCATTTTGAGCCATGGCCAGCGGATCGGACCGTCATAGCCAGCCCCTCACTCCGTGTTCGATGATGAAGTGGTGTCGTATGGTGGGATGCATCGACGATCGCCATGACGATGTCAACCATGACAGTAGGAACTTCGTCCGATTGCGTCCCCTGTAACGAAGCCGAGATACGTTGCCAAGACGGTTCCTCTTAAGGGTAGCGGTTAACAGGCAGACACATTGTAGGGCTGGCATCTGTGCGCATGCGTACCTCAGGGACTTTTGCCCTAGTGGCCACCTATTTCTCCTGAAGTTAGCATTAAACCTAATAAGGCAGTATAAGGGGTATACTAGGGGGGCTAGCATAGATGTACCTACATCTATATGTTACGACCTAACAAGTTACAGGCGATGTTGCCCTACTTGGCAGAGCGGCCAGTGGGCAGCAACAGCATTTGTACAGAACTAACAGATGGGCGTGGACAGGATGACTCCTATAGACACAGAAGAACTATAGTACAAGTCACATGACAATAAGATTAGATAAGATCTATATATTAGAAATACAGAAGCTGTATGCTTAGTATATAGGCGCTATATAGAAAATATACAGGTGCTATAGTTTAGATATATAGCCCTATACGCTAACAGAAAGAATAGACTCATATATAGGATAAACTTAGACGCACTTAAGGATAGACTCCTATAGCTCTTTAGTAATTAACTTCTTTATAATATATTCTCTAAATACCTTTTAGTATTCTACCCTAGTAATTTAATTAATAAAAGCTATATAAGCTACCTTTATAACTATTAACTACCTAACTAATTACTAAGTAATTAATAGACTAGTAAGCCTATACTACTATTAACTAAGTATTAACCCTAGCTTATTCCTAGTGGAAACCCTACTATTAGATTACTAACTATAACACTTTAATTACTCTTGTTAAGTAAGTTAACCTTAATACTTACCTAATAGTAAAGACACTATATTAACTTCTAAGAATACACCTTTAATAAGTACTCCTAAGTCCTAGTGTTCCCTAGACAAGGAACTTAAAGATACTATAGAGATTAACAATAGATTTATTCTACCTAATCTAAGATTTAATAAAGACAGTAAGGCTATTTTTACTATAGATTAGTATCTTATAATTTAAGGAATAATTAAGAGAAACACTAGATATAACTACTAACTTATTAAAGTTATTAATAGTAATATAGCTAAACTAGAGCGCTTAGAGAAAGCTATCCCTAAGGAACCCTTAACTAAGATATAAGAACTTAAGGAGACTATTAAAACCCTTTAAGGCGCTACTAATATTATATAGACCTTAGTTAATAGTTAAAATAAGCTTAGACTTAATAATCTATAGCTGTTTAATAGAACCCTAGGACACTTAAAAGGATTCCTTACTTAAGTCTAAGTATACTACTAGTTCTATAACGTTAGCTTTAGGGATAAACCTAAGAAAGTTATCTATACTGCCTTATTCCTTAAAGGAAAGGCACTAGCCTAGTTTAAACTTTACTTAATAGACTATATAATAAACAACTAAGTAGGCCTAAAAACAGAAACCTAGGAGATCTTTTATAAATACTCTAGGTTTAAGAAAGTACTACTATTACTCTTCTAAGACCTTAATAAGAAGTAATAAGCTAAGTAAGAACTATTTAACCTAAAATAAACTAAGGCTACTTTATACTATATAGCTAAATTCTAAAGACTTACTACTAGACTTAATATTACTTAAGAATCCTTAATTTTTATGTTTTACTAAGGACTTAAGGAAGATATTAAAGATAAACTAGTTAAAATTATAAACCTTCCTAAAGATTTCTTATTATATATTAAGCTTACTATTAAAATTAATACTTAATTATATAAGTAATAACAAGAGAGAGGAGAAACTAGATAACTTAATATAAATATAGGCAAAAAGTACACCTAAGGACTAAAGCCACTAGGCTAGTAAAATAAAACATCTAATAGACAATAGAGACCTTATAACAACTAGATAAGCACCTCTTAGGGACACTATACTAGACCTATAAATATAAGTATAGTATATAAACAAGACTAATAACTACTATATAACCCTAAGACTATTAAATACTTTAACTATAAAAAGACTAGTTACTATACGTAAGACTATAAGTAACCTAAATAACTTTAATATAAAACCTTACTAAAGTACACTAAGAAAGCTAATATAGCTACTAAGGAAGTCCCCTATTAATAATTAATATAGACTACCTACTATAATAACACTTACACTATACACT